AAACTTTGAAAGTTGATTTGAAAACTTGCATTGAGAAAAGAATGTTGAGAAACAAGTTTTCATGAAATGATTTTGGGGTAAATACGTTGGTAAGTCTTGATAGGTGGTGTAAATGATATTAAATAAGTTCGCCTGAGAGTCTGGGGTAAAAGACCGAAAACCCACGCGAATAGGTGTCGAGCCTTCCAGTTAATACCGGTAAAAATGTCAATTTGGTAGTACTTGTATAATCTACTTGCAAACACTGACCTAGGGATTACCAGAATCATATTTACCGCCCTTGAAATAAATTGTTAAATTTTGAATAATTGAAATTGCATGACATCATTGAGTATAATGCTTTTTAAAAGATGAAAATGTGATTTTCTTTCAAAATGGCGTAGCATGACATGTGCATTTCATCTCTTGAGACTTGTATAAAATGTATATAATTTATTAAGGATTTCTTACTAGGCTTTATACTCACCCTACGGGATTTTTGTGCAGGAAAAAATGTGGTGATGCCGCCAACCTAAAGGCTGAGGAAATATGTGTTGAGAGTATGAGACTCTCATTTTGCTGTGACTCTGTGTATAAGCCAAGGGCTATATGTGTGTGGATTTGAATAACCATTTTGTGTAATCAGGCTCAAGCCTTGGAACCTTGTAAACCCTTGGGGGTATTTATTTGTTTATTTTTTTGTTGTTGGATTAATGTATTGTTGCATGAAGAACTATTGTATCATGTAATATATGTTTAGGATAATTTTTTGACTTTTTACGAAAAATGTGTAATAAAATATTATATCAAATATCAAAATTACTCTTGTACCTTTCCTAACACATACCGTGTGCATTCAATGCATTTCAAAATTTTGTTGACTTTGGAAATTCGTGGCTTACAATTAGCCACGTCAATGCATTTGGTAAAATGTGTAAAGATAGGTACACACGACAGCACTGACATGCACTTTTGGCTGTTGAATTTAAAAAGGCAAATTCATAATTTTGCCCTTTATCTATGCAACAATTTTTTTTTTTGCCCAAACATGTAAATAGGGTTAACTCTTTTTTTTTTTTTTTTCCAGACATTTTTTAGTCGAGCGTCAAAATTACCGCTCGAGCGGAGAAGCAACAACGAAGGGACCGCTCGAGCGTTAAAACTTCCGCTCCACCGTAAAGGCCAAAATCTGGGCATCACCTATTGGCATCTAAAATCAACCAACCTGTAACAGACCCGCCCAACCCAACCTATACTTCAAATACAAAGAGATTAAAGGACAACGACAACCAATAAGCAATGACAGGATCCACGGAACCTAAGTCCGGATACAATAATTTAAAGAGAAAAGACCGGGGTCGCTATACCACCACTGTTTAAGGAAAACAACAATCCAAATCTCTCTGTCGCTGACAGTTGCTGCAAAATTTGCCACCGACACACCGCTGCAAACCTTCGTTTTCGCCAATAATCGCTACAAACCTTGCCTCCGGCGCACTACTGTAACCCTTCTTCATCAAACCTTCGTTTTTACCAATAGCCGCTACAAACCTTGCCTCTGGCGCACTGCTGTAACCCTTCATCATTTCTCATTCTTGTTCAACCCTAACCCTACCCACAACTAGCAGCCGTGATAGAAGATGAAAATGAAGGGTCGTGGATCGATGATGTGGAGGTCGTCGAAGGGAGCTGCGATGGTGGTGGTCGCAAGCCTCTGTGGCAATAGGATTTGAAAATGAGGGTAACAAAGTAGCAACAGTGAGGAGAGGTGGCGGCAATCGTGGCGGTTGTGGCAAAGGTGGTGGTAAAGTATGGTTGTTGGGCAATTGGTGATGGTTGGCTGGTGGTGGTGGCTGTCAATAGGTTAGGTTAGGGTTCATGGATAAAGGGGATAGTCCTTTGTGATCATTTTGCATTAGGTTAATATTGTAATAAAAAATAAATTATGGGTTATTCTACTTACACCATTACTTTATCTCTTTACACTCTCCACATGAGTTTTTTTTCTCCTCTCAATTTTATCTATGTGTGAAATTATCTTAAGGACAAAACATTATAATTAAATATATTTTGTTATCTCCTTACACCTCTTGATCTTCAATCCCTACTCCTATTTTTTCTTTCTTAATTTTTCTTTTCTCTTATACATCTCTTTTCAAAAAGTGAGAATCATAGTATTTTGATTAATAAATAAAGCAATGGATGAGGAAATGGTGGTGAATAACCATCAAAAAAGTGAAATGGTGATTTTTTTTTTTTTTTTTTTTTTTATTTTGTTTCGTTTTTCTGGACCGGTGTTCGACTTTCGTTTGGTGGTTCGAAATCGAACAAAATAAAATAGTCCAACATCACATTGTCGAACCAAAAAAATAAGTTTGATAACTAACTACCGAATAAAAGGTACATTTCCAGTAACTCCAAATCGATTTTTTTTAATTTGTTCGGCTTCTCATTACCATGTATTTTCAGTTTTATTTTTTTATATTTTTTTGCCTGGGAAGATTATACTTATACTCATTGCAACAACGCAAATACTGCAATATTAGTAGACTCTAGTCATGAATTCATTACAGACGGGGTTGTTAAGTTTTTATTATGAATACGATTTTTTCTTATTTTTAATTTGCATTGAGTTTTATTAATAATTTGACTTATAAATGTATTTTTTATCTTTAGTTTTTTAGTAGTCATGAAGCATTAATTACATGGACTTCTGACGTTGGGAAGAAAACTGGATTTGTTATTGTTATAAAGACATTAGATGTGGGAGGTAACGACAGAAAACCCAGACTTACACTTGCTTGTGAAAGAAGTGGTTATTATAGAGACAACAGGAAAATTAAGGGGGAACGATTGAGGTTGACAAGTTCTAAAAAGTGTGGATGTCTATTTTTATTAAGGGGAAAAAATTACCTACAAAGTACCAAGACGAATTGTGATATCATGTTTGATTGATGGAAGCAAACAATGATAGATTTTGTAAATATTTTATGGATATTTGTATACTTGATGTTTTTATGAATAATTTTATGGATACTTTTTATATATGATTTTATGGATGCATGTTTGATTTATGAATTTTTTTATGGATATTTCAAGGAAAAAGTAAAATTTTCAATGTACAACAACGGGGGCCTAGACAACTTTATTGTAGTTTGGCAACATGACATTAGAGTAATCCTATTTGTATAACAATGTATCACTGAACATGCACTGAACAAATGACCCAAATTAATTTCTTGTTATCATCTAATTGGACGGCAACATAATGTTGGAAAAAAAAAATATTGTCCGATAACATGACACTGCAGTAATTCAAATTAATTAGCGTTGTATTACCAAACAGGCACACCACAAATTAAAAAATCATTGTTTGGAAGAAAGTGTCTCTGTAAATGTATAGTAACAAAATGCTGGAGAGATCTATTTTTTTCGGCAACATAATACTGGAATAATATAAATTGTTTAGCATCGTATTACTAAAATTAGTGTCGTAAAAAAATGAAATAGTTAATTTAGAGTTAATTTTAATCATATATTAGAAGTGTAATGAAAATTACACTGTTTTTAGTGATGCACTGAAATAAAAGATGTAAAGAAGTTAAATAATGGGATAAATAGAATCACTCTAAATTAATGATGTATATCAATTGTAATAAAAAATAAATTAATTGGTGTCGTTTGGTAACACTTACGTTTTCAGTTTTATGTTTATATTTACAAAAATTAAAAAAACTCAAATAAAAACTTACTTGGTAAAATTTTTAATTTATAAATCAGTGGTATCAGTTTATAAATCTGGCAAAAAAATGAAAACACAAAAAATATGTTTCCGTTTTGATTTTTTTTTACCACCCAACGCTAGCTACCATCCGCCACCATTTTCCACACCGTCTTCCGCCACCACCCCCTGCCACCACCACTCACCACCCACATGCCACCACCACCCACCAGCCACCACCCACCAGCCACCCACTTGCTACCACCACCACCACCCACCTGCCATCCACCCGCCACCACCTACCACCCGCTACTACCATCCACCACCCGTCACCACCACCCGCCACCTACTTGCCACCACTACTCACCACTCACCACTCACCTGCCACCACTTGAGTGGAAGTTGAGGTATGGACCTTTTCAGGCTCTAATTTTTGAGGCCCAAACTTCAAAGTGCTCCAAACTACCAACAATTCAGATTAAAACGAAGCCCTCGACTCACACACTCTTTTTAATGAAGGATCTAGGGTAGAAACACACCCTAAGTGGATCAAATCTTACCCGCCACTGTCACCCATCCACCCATCACCACCTGCCATCCGCCACCCACCTGCCACCACCACCGGCCACCGCCACCACCACCACCACCGCTACCATTACCCATTCACTACCACCCACCACCCGTCACCGTCGCCTACCCACCCACCTACTCGTTACCACCACCCGCCTGCCACCACCTACCACCACCCGCTATCCGCCACCAACCTGCTACCACCACCCACCACCTGCTACCGCCACCCACTCGCTACCCCCCGCCACTGTCACCCACCCACCTACCACCACCAGCTACCTACCACCCACCGTCACTACTTTCCACTACCGTCTTCCGCTGCCACTTGCCATTTCTCACTCTTTTTTATATTTTAAATTTTTTTAAACATTTTGTCAATTACCAAACGTATTTATAATTTATATTTTTTTAAAAATAAAATAAAAACCAATTTATAAAATTTTTATAAATATAAATTGAAAACATAAACGTTACCAAACACACTTTGTGTTTTTGAGGCGCAAGATGGTGGGTAAGGCCCCGTTTGGGGACTTATCTTTTTAGTTAAAAAGTCAAAAAATTATTTTTTTAGCAAAAAAGTCAATAACTCATACAAAAAAATCAAAAATTATCTTTTCTCTCTACTTTTTACACATCTTTTCATAATTAACTAAAAAATCACCCTAAACATATAAACTTTTTTACCTACATTTTTAATCAAATAGCTAAAAAGTTACTAAACCATGCGTTACCCAACGTCCCTCTTCTCCCTCTGTTTCTGTTCCAAAGCTCTCCCTCTTCTGTACCTCTCTTCCCTCCACCGAAACCCTCTCTCAAACCCTCCAAAACCCTCTGAAATTGAAACCCTCACTCAAACCCTATACTGATATGGTTCTCAGGTGTTCATTTGGGTTCGGCAATCTCTCTCTCACTCACGATTTGGGTTCGAAGTTCACAATCTAGGGATTTTCCATCGGCGATCTGGGCATACAGGTATTTTTTCTTTCTTTCTTTCTTGTGTTTTCTTTTTCCAGAGCAATTCTATTTTTTTCCTCATCTGCGTACATTGATCTGTTTTATTTTATTTTTTTCCCTAAAAAATATTTATGTGAAAATTTGTTGTGGAAATTTGTTCATCAATTTAGATTTTTGTTGCTTTTCTTATGTTCGTTGGTTGTTTGTTGGTGGGAAATCCAGAAATAGTTGGTTAATTGTTGAGCTGGCAAGTTTGGAATTTCTCAAACTTGGAATTCATTTTTCTAATTTTTTCTTCTTTAAAATTAAAACTTTTTTTTTTCTTTTTTTTTCTTTTCATTAGGCCAACGTGATTCTCACCACCTCCACTTTATTCAAATAAAAGGCCTTGTTTGGTTTGTGTTTTGGGATATTATTTTAAAAATAACTTTTTTTTAGAGAGTTTAGAAAATTAGAAAATTTGTTTTGGTCGTATATTTTGAAAATAATTTTGAAGTTTTGGTGTTTGGGACGAATTGCTACTTTTTTTTTTGTAGTTGAATAGATTTGATATTTTTTTGTAGTTGAATAGATTGGTTGTGAGAGAAAAAGTGATTCATGAGAGATGAGAGAGAAAAAGTGATTGATCGATGTCTAATAGAGAAAAAAGTGATCTTGGAATTGTTTTATAAAAGTTTGCAACCAAACATGTTAATGAAATTCTTTCTCTAAAAACATGTTTTAAGAGACAAACTAAACATGTACCTACGCATAAAATAAATAAAAAGATTGAAAAAAAATTTGTTATTCAAATCCATTTTATGTATGGTGGGATCACATTTGAAATAAATTTGGACAACACATTATATTTTTTTAATATGAATTTATACATTTTTCTGAATAAATTTTTAATTAATCATTTCAGCTTTATTTTAATGTGAGCCTCCGTCTTTTTTCCACTTCTTTTTCTGTTAGTAATAATGGGATCAGAAGGTATATAGAATCCCTTCTACTGAGCCATCTCAATCTTGATTTTCTAATCTTATGAGTTGTAGTTTTTTTGGAATTGCTAGCCATCTCCCTAAATCCTTATTTAATGAATCTGTGATATCATTGAAAAAGCTATCAAAACAAGGAAAGGAGCTTTCTTTTCCCTCGTCATTTATTTGAAGCATTCTCTTTTCTCATATTTTATTGGAAAGATGTGTAGTAATAACAAAAAAAAAAAAGAAGGCATCTTTTATTGGATAACTCTGCTTCTTTCGCACAATACCTTGATTTGAAATTAAAAATCAACACGTTGCTTGATTCGTTGAATGATAAAACAATTTGTCTTTGAATACTCAAGAGGATTTGGAGGACTCGCGAAGTGCGAGAAAATAGCAATGACAAATCTCGCAAATCAATTGAAGAGTAAAGTAAGTAAGTACTCCTACATCCTAAACAACTTATTTTATTTATTTATTTTTTTTATAAACAAAAAAAAAATATTATTGACATAAAGAAATGCACGAAACCTCTGTTATCAGAATCTTATGATTCGCGATTCGATTCGCGATTCGATTCGCAATTTTTGCAAAATCGATACGAATCTATGAGTGAATCTATTTTGGAAGTGAATCTCTAGCGAATCGCACGATTCACAATCGATTCACGATTCGATTCACTTTTTACGATTCATGCAATTTTTGAAATTATTGTGTTCGACATATTTTCGACTCAATTTTTTCATCTTTTTAGTGAAAATGACATAATACCACTTCTAATAGTATTTAATACCAAAATAACCAACATATATATATGATTTGTTATTATTTTAGTGATCATGGAGTTTTTTATAGGATCCAATTAGATCCAGTCAGACCTAACATATTTTTAACATTTCTTCTCATTTTTGTCCCATTCAAAAATTTGTAATATATCTTCTAAAGATGTTTAAGATTAGAGTTACACTATGAATTATCTATTACTATTTTATTAAATTGAATACTACATGTGTGAGGTCAGTTATATTTGTTAAAATGTTTTAAGCTTTAAAATAAAATATCTTAAATAATTCTTTCTTATTATTTGCTCACTCTTACTTAGAAAAGTATATATGCTAATTGTCCAAATATCAATATCGTTGTTAACTATTGTTACTTTAGAAATTAATAGTTTCTATTTGGTTATTACCTTTATTAAGAATGGTTGATAAAAAAATCTTAAAAAAAAAAAAAACAAGGTAAGATGGTGATTTTACATAGGAACCTTTGTTTACTTCTTACCTATTAAATTACGTGATTATTATTCAAAATAACATTTTTGTTGATTTAAGTCTAAATATTTTATATTCATAAGATACATTTAACATCTAAATGTGTAGATATATGTTTTTAAGTGATTTAGAAAAAGTGACCGAATCTTTACGATTCGCGATTCGATTCGATTCGCGATTCGATACGAGATCATTTCGATTCACGATACGAATCCCGATTTGACAACTATGCACGAAACATACAATTCATAATAATACATCAATAAGAAGAGCAATGGTGAAAAACTTGCATCATATTTAGAAAATACATCCCGATTACTTGGCACTTGAAAGTCTAGCAAAATCATATGCAACTACCAAACGATTAGAGGTTGGCAAGGAACCAACATGAAACACCAAAAATACCCTAACATTGCATTTGGATAATGTATTTAGATAGGAATTTAGAAACATAAAGAGAAATAGATAAAAATTTAACTTATATTTTATTCACATTGTCTTTACATATATATATTTTTTTTCCAAATTCTTACCTAAACTTATAATCCAAACACAATCTAAATAGAAAACCTTATGGAAGACTCATCCAACCTCCACTAGAGTTTACATCAATTGATTCAGCCTCACATTTACAACATCATTCAATCACATTTACAACATCATTCAATCACAGAACAAAATCAACATTCCCAAATTCCAACACCTCATCTATTGTACTCCATCAATATGAAAATAAATATGTTGGAGGCCCCAAAAGTTTGGGTAAATGACTAATAGGGCATAATAGTTAAACTTAATTCCTATCAAGTCCAATGCGTCACCGCCACCGTTACGGCGACCGCAACCGCTTTTCAGAACCTTGCTAATAGGGCATAATAGTTAAACTTAATTCCTATCAAGTCCAAATAAAAATAAGTACTCATAAAATTATCGCTAAAACTAATTTTTTGTGACGATTTTTTGCATGTCGCTAAAAATTGACAATTTGTGATTTTTTTTGTCATGATTTTATAAATTGTCGTTAAAATTTATTTTGTAGACATTAAAATCAATTATTTTATAGTGATTTAAAAAATGAAATATATTGGATCATTCTTAAAAACTAACAAAAATGAATCAAAATCTATTTTAAATCCCAATAAATGTGATTTTGGAAAAAAAAAAAAATATGCGTATCGGTAAGTTTTTTTTCAAATCGTGCGAAAAATAAAAAAAACTCACGGTTCCGGTTACTGCAACCGTTGTGCTACAACCTTTGCACTCCGCAAGCACAACCGCGCCGCCACAACCGTTACAACGACCTCAACCGCTTTTTGAAACCTTGATTCTAACACAACTCCCTAACATGCATTTTTCTCAAAATAAAATCCATTTTTATACAAAAATTACCACTTATACATTCACGAAACCCATATTATATAGAGCAAAGAAATCCCTACCAGAAAATGAAGATCTATCAAAATTTGTGTTGGTGATCTTGCTTCCACCTCCTGTCTTTATCAATTTGCTAGATCTTCCTTTTCTGTTAGGGAGTTGTGTTAGAATTAAAATAAAATCCATTCTTCCCCACCTAATCCACTTCTCCCTGCTAACTCTTTTTTTTTTTTTTGGTTGATAAATCTCCATGCTAACTCTTTTTTGAACATATTGAATTGCAGACAGATTTGTACAGAGATGGCTATCTCCATCTCCGCTTCTAACCATGCAATTTGGGAAGAAATCGAACGTTCTGGGAGGTCAGTTTCTTGATTTTTTTTTTTGAGGGGGTTATTTCTGCTGATAATTCCATGATTTCTCTCTTTAGAAAAAGATTTCCCAATCCCAAATATGATCATATTTGAGATTCAAAATTTGCAATTTAATTTTCTCTTGCAATCGGGGAAGTTGAATGTGTTTACTCTATTTTGGATGTTTATTCTTATGCACATCAATTGAAGCGTAGGTTATTGCTTTGTATGATGTGTGTTGCTTCCTGGAGCAGGACTATTAATATTCAGTAACCATTTAGTTTTCTGAGTGCCCTTTGGTTACTACTCATATTTTCATGATTCAATTAAAAACAAAAATATACCCACATTCTAAGTCTTGTTGATTACCAAAAATTGTTCTAAATTTGCATTAAATTTCTTGAATTTCAAGTGTTTTTGTTTATCTGAAAGCAATAAGCCATTAATATTACAATAACAACCCAAGCGTGTGTGTGCGCGCACACAGAGTAATGCGTGCATGCATTTTAATGAGAATGGAGAAAATAGGTTATTTACATAGTAATACAAAATTGTTCCAAAGTTTTTATAGGAAAACAAACAAACATGCTCATATAACTTTGGGAAGATTATTTCCATGATACCCTTTCCGCATATATATGTTTATGACTATATGAGATAAATAATTATCTAGCATACCGATGATCCCTCTTGTTCATTTACTCTATTAGGTAGATTTGTGATGATAATACATACTTATATAGTAGTAATAATGAAAAATGGGTTTTAATTGTTCAGTATCAGTAATCTATTTATTGTTGTTTTTGTTTGCAGCTACCTTGTTTCTTGCATGTACGAGGAAGCAACATCAATTGCCTCTTATGTTCTAAGGGATTTATGCAATAATAAGTTCATTAAAGCTGGAGAAGAAACTCAATTGAATGACATGTTGGAATCAGCCAGTATGGTGCTAGTTCAATCCTTGAAGGAGCTTAGGAGGTGCCTTAATTCTTCTATACATTTTGTTTCTAGATTTCTTCTTTCCTGGTGATGTCTTCATTAGTATCTCTGGTAGGGTGTGTTATGTTCCCCTATAAATTTTGTCATTCCCCAAATGTAGGGTATAACAGGCCAAGGCATATGTAAGCCTAAACAAGAATCCATAATCATACACTGAATAATCAAGCCTGAGTCACACGTAAGCCTAAACAAGAATCCATAATCATCCACGGAATAATGCAATTATAGCCTAATTTCATAAACAAACCAATACTCATTCCAGTGATACGTCAAAATAATTAATGGGCAGAACTAGCCCTACCCAACTTGAGATATACCAAGTGGACACAAACAATCCACGCAATAAAACAATTCTATATAATACTCAAACCAAAATGTATATGCACAATTATTGACATAACTAGCTAAAAAATGTGATCCAGAAGTCCATGGAATAGAGTTCCCGCCAAGCCATGAGTCCAATTCTAAGTCCTCTCACATGAAAATGTTAAATAACTAAGTCAATTGAAACAAGTTTCATTTCCAAAATAAAAAGTATAGGACATAAACTAGTTGGACACGCAATTTTGATAAAAACATTCTATTCAAAGACTTAGGTTACACAATTCAAAATTAAAACCTCATAGTGTCTCAGAAAAAGCATAACAAGTACATGTCTCCACTTAAAATAGCAATTGCATAATCTTTTTCATAATTTGGGTACCAAAGAATAACAAGTAACACATGCCACAAAGTTCTCAAGGCAACCACGCCCTATGGATTCAACATTGAACAGAGAGTCATTCTCGGGATGACATCTTGGACCTTTTCTCTAAGATGATCTAATTGAAGGTCACCCGACCTAACCTAAATCTCTGTTACTTACAATTGTTGACCACTATAGTCATCATAACCTAACCTGGATCTATTCTCTAGTGGCCAGAGTCACTACACACAGTGAAGTTCATTGGGCTTTTCACATATGGTCCCCATATAATCAGAATGACTCAATTTCGTAAAACAAGATAGTTTATTATTACAACCATGAACCCATAACAAATAGTTTACTAGTTTACTGTATGCCAAGTTTACATGTGTTTCAGAATGACTTAGTTCCAGTGATATGATAATAAATTTACCAAGGTAGTTTAGTCACGAAATGATAGGTGAATTTTCAAATAGATTAGGGTAAGGGAACATTATTAAAATTCTTAGCATGCAACTATTTGCCTAACAAGGGAACAATACAGGCCTTGTTTGGTTTGTTTTCAAAAAAAAAATTTGGGAAAAATTCTCTACAAACAAATTTTCAAGAGTAATCAAACCAAACAAATTTTTTCAAAAAAAATCTCAAAATTTTGTATGGTTACCTACTTTTCAAAATCATTCTCTCTCATACACATCAAATCAATTACTTTTTTTAAAACTCTCTCCCCAAAATAATTTTCCAAAACCATTCCTGAAAAAAGCCAAACCAAACAAGTTTTCGTATTTTTTATCTCAAAAACTACTCTACAAACACAAACCAAACACACCCACAATCCTCGTAAAGAATATAAAAGTCCAGCTAGTGCCCTTATCCAAGTATGAAAAACTACATGTCATTACTAACTCAAAAGTTACTAAAAGGGATAATAAACAAAGAAACTCCAAGCTGAAGTGCACTCATACCACGTACAATCATCAATAAAACAGTATAAGGAATCCACATCTCAAATACCTATCTAGTCATGGCAATGAGCAAGAATTGATAGTTACGGAAAAATGGAATAAAAGATGAAAAACAAGGAAAAGGAGTGTTAAAATCCACCTACTCTCCACCTACTTCATCCACTTAAACCTACTCCACTAAACCTAACCCACTACACCACTACCACCTCACCTACTCCACTAAACCTTCACCCACTTAAACCTACTCCACTAAACCTAACCCACTACACCACTACCACCTCACCTACTCCACTAAACCTAACCCACTACACCACTACCACCTCCACTTCACCTACTCCTTACCTACTACACACTCACCCTCTTCTATATATAGGAATCATGAATCATTGTAATGTACATCAATATATATCAATCAATAATACATACAATTTATTCTCTCCTTTCTCTATATCAATATATTTTTTACAAGGAGAAAGAAAACTAGAGGCCTACACCTACCTCCTACATGGCCACACATGGCTACAACTCACCACCCAAAGCTATCCCTTCCCTTGGCTACGACTTCTCTCTCTCTCTCTCTCTCTCTCTCTCTCTCTTCCCTTGGCCGCACATGACTGCGAGTAGTGGAAATAATATGAGAGCTTAAGGTTTTCCAAACGCTTATGTAACTGGTCTCTTTTATTTATTTGTTTTTGTTTTGTTTATTATTATTATTGTAATATATTATTATTAAAACCTTGCCTCTTAATTATAGAGTTGCATCATAAATTTATGCAAGGTTTAAACTTAATTAAAATACCCTTCAATAATATGAATTGACACTTTAGGGTTCAAGTAAATAGTTTGATATTTATAAAAGTATTATAATATTATCATAAATATTATCTTTATTTTATTTATTTATTTATTATATCGGGTTCTCACAAGTTCTTTATTCTCTATATAACAATCCTTTCTAAGTGTTACTTTTACCCATGTTTTAATTTTTTTTTAAATTAATTTTTTTTTTTACATTTGTGGATCACTACTACAGTTGATTGCAATGAATTGTTACAATTACAATGCAAAGTCAACTATGCAATGATGTACAATCACAAAGGAACTCCAATAGTGGGACTGAGAAGCCCCCCATATTTGGAAAAAAGAAGTGAAGAAGCATAGTGCTTCCTGAGTGATTTTTAACTTATTTTTAAATTCTTGGAATATTCTCTCTAGTTTATGAAGTTGAAAGTTGGCATTTTATCATGATAGTTTCTATGTCTTTGACCTAGACAAATGGGTGGAAACATGTAAGTACAGTTGATTGCAATGAATTGTTACAATTACAATGCAAAGTCAACTATACAATGATGTACAATCACAAAGGAACTCCAATAGTGGGAATGAGAAGCCCCCCATATTGGGAAAAAAGAAGTGAAGAAGCATAGTGCTTCCTGAGTGATTTTTAACTTATTTTTAAATTCTTGGAATATTCTCTCTAGTTTATGAAGTTGAAAGTTGGCATTTTATCATGATAGTTTCTATGTCTTTGACCTAGACAAATGGGTGGAAACATGTAAGATTTGCATATGAGAAGTAAACCTTGTCATAGTTTAATCATGACTTTATTCTTGAGCCTATTACCCCTACCTCTATATTTGATGGCGAGAGTTCTCTTCATATTATTCTTGAGCATCCATCTCATGAGTCCCTTAATCTTGTTCCTTCAGTTGATTTTAATAGCTCTTTTGAAGAGATTTTTCTTATTTTTGTGATCATGGCATTTGTATTGTATCATCACTCCATTGCAACAAAGTCTGGTCCAAAGACTTCTTTGACTCTCACATCTTTTGAGCATGTTTTAGCCAATCTTGAATATGGACCACATTCATATTTTACTGATTTTTCTTTGATTTTAAATATTGGTCCAATGTTTCATGTGAAAAATACTGTGGTACTACTCGATCAAGGCACTTCGCAGCCTTTTGTTTTATCTGATAGTCTGTTAAAGAGTTGATGGGTATGTTTGGTTTGTGTTTGAGAGATGTGTTTTAGAGATAAAAAGTACGAAAACATGTTTGGTTTGGTTTTTTTTAAAAGATGTTTTGGAAAATTATTTTGAGATAGAGTTTTGGAAAAAGTGATTGATTTGATGTGTGTGAGAGAGAGATTTGTTTGGAAAACTTGTTTGGTTTACAAGTTTTGGGAAATTTTTTTGGGAAAATTTGTTTGGTTTGGTTATTTTTGAAAACTTATTTGTAGAGAAAATTTCCCAAATTTTTTTCAGAAAATCAAACCAAACGAGCCCGATGTTTTTCCATTGCTAGTTTGAATACTTGCTTCTCATCAGTTCTTTGGTTGATGTCTTATTGTGGATGAAATCAAGATTCGAAGCGTTGTTCTTGTCCGTGAATCTTGATGGAGTATACTCCCAAGTTCCAAGATGACAATTAAAAGCACTGTTGTTCATTCATTCCGGTTTAATTGCATTATTGATGTCTTGTGTGAGGTTACCCTTCATATGAACGATGGGGTAGGGATACGTTGATCACAAGGTCTACTTGACATTATTAACTTTGATTGAGACCCCATTAATAAGTAGGAGTATGTGCGCATGTGCCTGCACATGTTTCTCTGTGGGGTGTATTCTTTGTGTCTCCATATGCTCATGTGCTAGTTTGCATGTGTGTGCACATTAAATGTTTCAAGTTGTTATTTCAGACTCATCATCATCCAATATCATTTTATTTTTCATGTACACAATGCATAACTTTAAAATCCTAATTATGATTTTAAAATTCTAATATCATTAAATGTTTCATTTTATTTTTCATATACATGTTTCAAGTCCTAATTATGATTTTTGTGATTCTTTCTAATGGCAGGACAGAAGACATATTAAATGAGCTTTTGCTGTTGTTTGGTTCAGTCACTGACATTCCTGTTCAAGTTTTACTAGTTGGGGGAGCAAGTGGGGGAGGCAGTGTTGGTGGGGGATGGGAGATTGGGTGGTGGAAAGGTGGGGTGACTGCTTCTGTGGAGGCAGTGGGTGGTGGCGGGGAGGTGGTAGTCGGGGTGAAGGTGGAGGTAGTGGGATGGGTGTGTTAGGGTTAGGGTTTGCATTTTTAGGTTTACTTTTTCAAATGAGGAAGATGATGAATACAAGGGCATAATTGTCTCTGTTCATTGAAATTTGTCTTTGACTCATATTTCTTTTTTTCATGGCAACTCTCCAAAAAAGCATACGCCATACTTTAGTTTGGACGGAATTAGTAACAAGGAGGTCAGATGCAACATGCCAAAATGGGTGTTTGCATGTATTTAAATGTCAGGGGGGGAAAGTGCTCTAAACTAAAACCACCAGGGGACAGAGGATTTTGCCCATAAAAATAAAACAATCTGTTCAGAGAAACATGATGTAAAAAATTCCGTTTAGTTGGAAGTGCATGTGGAGGGCACTCTTTGTTTGGGAAGTTATATATTTTGAATTTTCTTGAATAAATATTTCGAGAGAAGTATAAAATGCACAAAATGGTATTTTTGTCGGGGGAAAATATCACTATATTTTAGGAATTGCCGAAAGCTACTCATATGCCTTTTCCATAACCTGTCCAAAAAAAAAAAAAAAAGAAAAAAAAGAAAGAAAAAGAACACAAGGGTAGGACGCTCTACTAAATCTGGTGTTTCTTTGGAGGCTATGGGTTCGTTTGGTTTGTATTTTTGAAAAATTTTTGGAAAATTTTCTCTACAAATAAGCTTTTAAAAGTAATCAAACCAAACAAAGGGCTCGTTTGGTTTGATTTTCTGAAAAAAATTTGGGAAATTTTCTCTACAAATAAGTTTTCAAAAATAACCAAACCAAACAAATTTTCCCAAAAAAATTTCCCAAAACTTGTAAACCAAACAAGTTTTCCAAACAAATCTCTCTCTCACACACATCAAATCAATCACTTTTTCCAAAACTCTATCTCAAAATAATTTTCCAAAACATCTTTTAAAAAAAACCAAACCAAACATGTTTTCGTACTTTTTATCTCTAAAACACATCTCTCAAACACAAACCAAACATACCCAATATTAAAGTCGTCCAATTCAATTTAATTTAAAGTGTGACTCCTTGAAAACTCTCTTTAGGTATTTTTCTGCTAATTCATTCGTGAGGGAACATGCAGCCACTATTAGATCATGAGTTTTTTTTAATGATGTCTATACTAGACACAACTTAGGATGTGACACATTAATGTCTGTTTTATACTTAAATCCACATTTACCTTCAGTAATGTGAAGTGTGTATGCTGTTATTATGTGGTTACTTAAACCATGTTGATGTGTCAATAGGATGGATGTTAGGACTTAAATTCTTATATAGACACAACATGTTGCATGAATGTTGGAACAGTATGCTTCTAAGACAAATGCTTACCCATACTCAATTTTATGGTCTGTGTTATAAGTAATTTATTCTCAGAGGTCACAGTAATAGGTGTTATGGCAAACATATCTTCTGGAGGAAGTATTTTTTTAACAAGGTGGGTGCAACAATTGTACAATTTCTGTTTTATTTTATTTTTCAGGGTATGTTTTCAGATATCGGAAGGTCCTTGTTCGGGGACTCAAGAATTTCTTGAGGAATTTCTTAGCAAGTGGAGATTTTTGGATGAATGATACTATGTTCTTGCAAGTTTAGAATCAAATATGGGTTATATGGAAGGATCTGGTGGTTCTTTTGGTTCTTTTTTGCTAGCTGTTGATAAGTACTTGGAAGTTGTTGAGGTCTACGTTGTAACACTTCTTGGGATGGTAGTGAGAGACATAGACCATGCTATCTGTTGGGTTGAGAAAGCCACATTACCTGAGGAAAAGCAACAGGTAAAATAAGCTCACTCATCTTAATCTAAACTTGATCATTATTAGGATGATTTAAGGTTATTATTACAACTACAGAAAAAGAGATCATTTATATGATTACCATATCTTTATTTAGTGGAAGTTTGTGATCATTGCTGTCAATACTTGATTTGGATTTTAGAAATCTATGTTTCAAAATCCTGGCCTTGCACTTAAATTATGTTTCATTCAAGAAGTATAATGTTATTTTATTTTATTTATTTTCTTAGTAGTATATAGGGTTAAGTCTTTTTACCAAAAGCCATGATTTTGTATATCTAAGTGTTCATATTCAACAGTTACTAGTAGGGGTATCCATGGTGATGCCAGATGGTCGGCATGAACTAAGCAACCAGAAGAAAAGAAAGACCAAGCACAAGAAAGAAATGAAACCCTAAATCTTAAAACTAAATAATATTCTCAATATCCAACCTGTCTATTAATAAGGCAGAATATGATAATGTTGGTTTTTACATTAATTATGTTCTAAGACTAATACAAGATCGGTGTTTAGAAGCAAAGGCGAAAAAACAAATAAAAAAATCAAATTTCCAACTCAAAATATGGTAAAAAATGTTGTGATGAAATTTTGAAAGAAAATTGATTGTAATACATTTACCAAGCGAAAAGGATTTTCAAAAAAATGTAGAAAATACAAATGGAAACCTTGGAAAAGAACAAAACTTTTTTAAAAAAGAAAAAATATGTTTGAAAAAAGAAACCAAGTGTTTCAAAAAAGAAAACTTGTCGATGTTACATTTGTCACAAATAAGGTCACTATGCACCCAAATGTCCAAAAAGGGAAAAAAGTACAAACAAAATGATTAAATTTCTTAAAGAACAAGACTTTGAAATAATATACGGTGAAAAAATTTCTGATGAAGAAGAAATCTTGTATGAAATTTCTAGCGATGAAGAAAGTTCAGATGAAGAACTAATCTTCATGATGACTAATACAGATAGTCAAGATATATCTCAAGAAGAATTACACGCAATTCGACTTAGAGATGTAATTGGAGAAGAAAAAACTTTTACCGAAGAAAAATTAGTAAAATTCGAAAAAATGTAAGAAATTGTTGTGCCATAAATTTACTAACTTTCAAAATTTAATTTTTTTTTAAGCAAGAGTGTTTGAACAATACAGTGGCAACACTCAAGCAAAATGGTCTGAAGAAGGAAATATTGATATTCTTTTTTTTTTGGATAAGAAAAAGGTTGCAAGATTGAAAAAGAAATATTCTGAGATTCAATATATTCATATTGGATTAATATAGGTAACCATGAAAGCCTTATTTTGACGAGGGATAGATACTCCTATTTTGTCGGTAATTTTTGATAAAAGATTTTTTTTAGTTTTTGATAAAAGATTTTCCAACCCAATGAAAGCAATCATTGGAGGAATTCAATCTAATTTGGCTAATGGAGTAGTTTGGTTTAATGTTAGACCAAATTTCTTTATTTTCTTAAATGATCCTAATTTTGAGGACACAATCAGAGTAAGAAGTAAAACACAAGGATTAGGAATGAAAATGAATTCTCATGATTTGGCTATTCGTTGGAAAACAATTCACGAATTAACCAAATTTCCTGAAACAAAAACAAGATCCAGCGATAATAAAATCGTTAAAATCTTTGAACTAAGACCATTTGACACGGCAATCCAACCACATCTAATGAACTTGAGTGATTTAGAAGTCCCTCGATAATGGTTAATCCATGACCTAGTAGGATAAGGAGAATCTTTCAAAATAAAAAATCCTGCACAAATACAAGCATCAGAAAAAAAACTTATATATTCAAAATATAGTTCAAAAAATTAAAAGATCAACTTCTGTATTTGAATTTTTTTTTTTAACAAATTATTTTCAAAATTAAGCATTGGTGAATTGAGTAATAATTCTAATCAAGAATCTATTGCTTCGAAAAATGTTCAGATTCCTATTTTTTCAGGAACAAGAACACAATCTGAACATGGTCTGCAAATATGTATCATTTTCAAATAAAAAATGATGATATTATTTTTTCTCTCAGCCAAGGAAAAAGAAGATACACGTGTTGAGAACATTTAATTTTGCAGGTTATAAATCCCATAGCCTCAGTGTTCTTATAGATACAGGAGCTACAATCAGCTCATGTAAATGGAATGTCATACCAAAAGAAAAATGGATATTAATGAAACATCCAATTTTGGTCACTGGAATTGATGGAAACCATACTTCCATATAATTCAAGGCTAAAAACATAACTATTTGGTTAAATGATAGCAAGTTCCTCATACAAAAAATTTTATGTTTTCCTTTTATGCATGGGGATTTCCTTCTTGGAAATAATTTTATATATAAATACCTTCCAATGCAAATACAGGAAAAAGTCATTTCATTAAGCATAAACAATGTCTTAATTCATATTCCATTGTTAGAACAGCATAATTATATTTGTGATAAAGAGTTTGCGCCCGTTCTGTGTAGTGATTTAACTACCATCATCAAAACTATTGATGAATCACATTGGATTAAAATTATGACAACGTAGTCCATGTTAATTGTAGTTTGAAATTGAAAGACCGTAATGTTATTATTAGAGTAAGATCAATGATCTATACTAAACAAGATATAGATGAATTTGATATTCAACTTTAGGAACTTTTAGGTAAAAAGTTAATTGAAGAAACAAGAAGCCTTCACTCTAGTTTAGCTTTTATGGTAAGAAACTATGTGGAAATTGAAAGAGGGAAAGCCCGAATGGTAGTCAACTATAAACGGCTAAATGAAAATTTAGAATTTGATGAATATTTTATTCCAAGAAATGATGTTTTGATTAATTTAACCAACCCCGCTACATAGCTCGAAACCTAACGGCTCAAGTGGCCTCAATTTGCTTTTCTACTCAACTTTCTGCTGCGTCTCTCTTCTTCGTCCACCTCCCTCCTTCCTCCCACTACATAGCTCGAAACCTAACGGCTCAAGTGGCCTCAATTTGCTTTTCTACTCAACTTTCTGCTGTGTCTCTCTTCTTCGTCCACCTCCCTCCTTCCTTCTTTGCTTTTGACTCTCTCTCTCTCTCTCTCTCTCTCTCTCTCTCTCAAAAGAGTTCTTTCCCTTCACGCCATCATTCACTCCTCTTTGTTCCCAAACTCAAAAACAAGGAATTTCCAAAACTACCACCATCACATAGAGTGTCATTTCTCTCCCTCATTCTTCACTTGGTTATGACCCTCTCAAAGATTCATCTTCCTCAAGATCACTCGTCAATGACTGCTAGTAATGAAATCATCACTAACGAATCCAAGGTCCTCTTCTCAATGAAATGTCTCTTTTGATTTCAAAAAATTAGAAATTTTTACTTTGATTATAATGATTTTGACTTATCCCCAGTTTCTTTGACTTGATTGTATTTAATTTTTTGACATTTTCTTTCAGTTTCATTGTATGGGTTTTCAATTCTCTGTTCTAAAAACTTGAATTGCTGAGAAATTCGAATGATTTTGAGTTAAGTTTCAACCTTTTGCACAGTGTTTGTGGTTTTGACTAACAGAGATGACTAGCAAACCCTAGTGTTCAATTTGATGCTAACACTTACAGAGTAGCTTCCATGGAAGGTGGGTCATCCTCTTTTCCAAAGAACGCCAATAAACACTGAAGTTACAAATCATCAGATTATTTACCTCCAACCTAGATCCAAATACATGAAGCAAGAATTTTCACAGAAAGCAACAAAACCCAACAAGAATTTTCCTTCTCTGTTTCCTCTCTTTTTTTTCTTCTTCTTCTCTCTTCATCCTCTCTTTCTCTCACCTGTTCTCAAACCAGTTTCAGAGAAGAAGAAGAAGAAGAAGAAAAAAAATTTGAAAACGATGACGTTTTCAAATTTTGGGCCACTCGAGCCGTAGAAATCTCGAGCTACGAAGCATTTTTGTAATTTAACCAAGGGATCAAAAATATTTAGTAAATTCAATTGTAAGAGTGAATTTTGGAAAATTCAATTGACTGAGAAATTGACAGCTTTCAGTACATCTAGAAGACATTACCACTGGAATGTTATGCCTTTTGGGTTAAATATAACACCATAGGTATTTCAGTGGTGGATGGATACAATCTTTAAAGATCTTAAGGATTATTGTGTAGTTTATATTGATGATATACTTATATTCTCCAAAACGCGGGAGGAGCATAAGAAACATTTAAAATTACTTTTGAAAAATTTCACAAACATGGAATTATTTTGTCACCAAAAAAAATTGAATTAGAAAAAGAATCAATTGAATTTTTGGGAATAATTTTAGACCAGAAAGGTTTAAAATTACAGGAACATATTTTGTTCAAAGTACGAGATTTTCCTGATACTCTTGAAAATATAACACAACTATAAAGTTTGTTAGGGATTTTAAATTATGGACGGAATTTTATCAAAAATAGAAATTCCTTGGTTAACCAAATTAAGGAAAAATGTTCTTTTTGAATGGATAGTAGAAGATGTTGCCTTAATTAAACAAATTAAAGAAAATATTAAAACTTTACCAAACGTTTATCTTCCAAAACCAGGTGATAAATTAATTTTAGAAACAGATGCCTCAAAATCATGTTGTGGATGTGTCCTTAAAGCAATATGAAGTAAATTATGGCATGATAAAGAGATAAATTTATCAAAAAATGAGATTAGACCTAGAAAAAATCCAATACCTATAAAATTACAAAAAGAACTAATTTGTGGATATAATTCTGGAACATTTAAACCAAATGAACATAAATATTATTTTTGAAAAAGAATTACTTGCAATAAAATTGGCAATAAAAAGTTTTCAAATTTATTTATTTCCAAAAAATTTTATTGTACGCACTGATAATAAGGCAGTAAGATTTCTTGATCAATAAAAAACCTATTAAGGAAGAAGATTAGTCTGGTATAATTAAATTTCTGAATGTACTTTTGAGATAGAACATCTTAAAGGTATTAATAATTTTCTTGCAGATTTTCTTTGTAGG